AGAATCAGGATTAACCGGTTTTTGACTGTGTTGGTTTTAAAGTCTGCGATTTAGCCGGTTTAATCCGGTAAGCCAAAAAGACTTTTTTGCCATCGAGGTTCGCTTTCGCTTGCTTTTCCTTTTTCTGTCAACACGCGGTTTTTTAAAAAACATCGTTTTCCTTCGTTGTAATGGTTTTCAGTTTTTGTTTTGGGTGAAAAAAATAAATAAATTAAAAATCCCTAAAAAAAACTTTTTAAACTCAGAGAGACATTTAGCGAGCTAGCTTTCAACTTTTCTTCGCTGATTCTTCCATGACTGATCCATTTCTGCTTAAACTCCATATCTAGCGTTTCTGATTAGGTAACTCCTGCATATGATTTTGTGTTGTGTTTGGTTTTTTTTTTTTCATGTCTTTTTGTTGTTTACTTGTTTCGTTCGTCGACGAAGTTCAGGTGCGAGAAAGCTCAGATTTGGAATCCCAGGATTTTGTTCTTAATTATTTCGTTTTGTTTCATTGATTATAACTAGTCCCAGGATTAAAGAACATAGTTTCGTTTGTTCTGTATAACTTTACGGTTCGTAAATTTGCAAATTCAGTTTTTGCTAGGTCACTTGTCCGAATTTGTGTATTCTTATGTTTGATTACAATTCACTGTGAATCATTCTACTTTCCGTTGGCGCTTTCTGGGTTTGTTCTGTAGTTTTAAGCTGTGTTGAGTTCTTTGATGTATTTTTGTAGGTAGAAAATGTCACGAGCCGAGTCTTTGTGGGAGCGGCTAGTAAATGCTGCGTTAGTAAGGGATCGAACGGGAGCAGCTGCTGGTGGTCCTGGTCAGGGCAGTATCGTTAACTATGTTCCTTCATCTCTATCAAACAATAGAGACATAGATGCAATTCTGAGAGCTGCAGATGAAATCCAAGATGAAGACCCCAATATAGCAAGGATATGTAAGCTGTTTACTTTGTTTTTCGCGGTTTAGCTTTTCTTTCCTCTCTGCAAAGCAACTGTTGTGATGTTCTTGACGATTGTTTTGCTGCAGTGTGTGAGCATGGTTATTCACTTGCACAGAATCTTGATCCTAATAGTGAAGGCAGAGGTGTTTTACAATTCAAAACTGGCTTGATGTCAGTTATTAAGGTGTGTTTCTCTTTTGTACATTCTAAGTTTCGATACGGTTATTCATGAGTGTGTAACCTACCACGTCACTGTATATGTTTGTGATGTCGTTAGCAGCTGCATAAATTTTGTGATGCCATTCGTATTAATTTGTTAAGGTTTTATTAGATGATTCGAATCTGTTTTTTTGGACTCTTGAATGCATTGCTAGTGAATGATACGATTGACTGCGTTGAATTTTTTAGTCGACTTGCCCAGGGTTTTGCATCCTAATACTTTGCTTTGCCGTGGTTTATTTCAGCAAAAATTAGCAAAAAGAGAGGTTGGGACCATAGACAGAAGCAATGATATTATCCGACTGCAAGAATTCTACAGGCTATACAGAGAAAAAAACAATGTTGACACGTTGAAGGAGGAGGAAAAGCAGCTCCGTGAGTCGGGGGCATTCACTGACGAGTATGTAGCGCTTACTACTTTTTCCTTTGTTATCCGACACTTTGGTTTGGAATTAATTACCATTTCACAAATGTCCTGGCTATGGTTGTTGAAAGTAAAAATTACTCAGATATCTTAATTGTTGTCTGAACGGTTTGATATTTGCTTTCAGGCTGGAGCGGAAAACAGTCAAAAGGAAAAGAGTTTTTGCCACCCTCAAAGTTCTGGGAAATGTGTTGGAGCAGTTGGCAAAAGAGATTCCTGACGAGGTATGTAAATTTCTTTTTAACACCTCTCATTTCATTCTTGCATTTGCTGACCTGAACAGTATAATTGTGAGGAAGAGAGTATTACTCCAAAACAAGTCTACGCAATCAAACTCTTAATATTTATTGAAGTTTTGGTCGTATACAGATTTCAGCTAAGAATTATTTGTTTTGTACTTCTACAGCTGAAGCATGTTATTGATTCAGATGCTGCTATGAGTGAAGACACAATTGCTTATAACATTGTTCCTCTTGATGCTCCTGTCACGACAAATGCCACTACGGCTTTCCCTGAGGTGAGGTATTTCCTATTGTACAAATTTGTGCATGCTCTGTGGCTTGCCTTGCTTCATGAAAAAAAAAAATGTGAGCAGGTTCAAGCGGCAGTTGCAGCGTTGAAGTATTTTCCAGGCTTGCCGAAATTGCCTGCTGATTTCCCCATTCCTGCTACAAGGAATGCTGATATGCTTGATTTTCTCCACTATATATTTGGATTTCAGGTTCGTATATCTGAGTAGCTTTTACTCAGCTTCGTATCGTACACATAGCTTTTCCTTTTGGTCATTTTTTAACATAACAACTTTTATGCCTCAGAAAGACAGCGTCTCAAATCAGCGTGAGCATATAGTTCTTCTACTCGCTAATGAGCAATCCCGCCTTAGTATTCCAGAAGAAACAGAACCTGTAAGTACCAAAGCTTATTTGAACTTCAGATGATTATTTTTTCAAAAGCTTCTGGATAAGAAATAAGTTATACATGATTTTGGTTGTTCTTTGTATGCACTTCTAGTTAATAAAGGTTAAAAGGGAAGTAGTATTGTGTTCATTCTAGAAACTTTATGCGTGGTAATTGTGCAGTGCACATGTCTCTAGCTTGTCTGCCTCTTTGTCTAGAAGGCAGTGAGTTGAGTTTTAAGATCTCAAGAATATTTTTTTTTTCTTCTTATGCTCAGAAACTGGATGACGGTGCAGTGCGTACGGTGTTTTTGAAGTCCCTAGACAACTACATCAAGTGGTGTGATTACCTGTGCATTCAACCTGCTTGGAGCAAGTAAATTATCCTCTCTCCCTTCTCTATTTTTTCCTGCTCCACTATTGCATACTCACTCCCAACATTTTGTACGATGCAGCTTAGAGGCCATAAGCGGAGAAAAGAAACTACTATTCCTCTCTTTGTATTTCCTGATTTGGGGGGAAGCTTCCAACATACGGTTTCTTCCAGAATGTTTGTGCTACATATTCCACCATGTAAGTTTTATGCTTACTGCTTATTTTCTCCATATGTTCGCATAGGTTAATGGGTTTCTGGTGTCTCTTTCCGTGATTCTTTTCTTAGCTATTTTAAGATGAATGAAACCTCCTAACTTCTTACCACCCTGACTTGCTACTAGCTCATCTTTATCATGACATGTTGTTCGTTTGGTCTTTTGTGCTGATGCTGAATATTTTCTATAGATGGTTAGGGAAATGGATGAGATCTTACGCCAGCAGGTTGCTCGCCCTGCTGAGAGTTGTATGCCAGTTGATAGTCGTGGATCTGATGATGGTGTATCATTTCTTGATCATGTCATTGCTCCGCTGTATGGAGTGATTTCAGCGGTATGTTCTCTGAAGTATTCTTTCACCCTCGACTTTTAGGGATTTTCCGTCCTTTGCTCTCTTCATGTTAAATAAGAAGTATGAAGTATCTTTCTTGAATCATGGACTGCTGCTTCTTAATAGACAAACGTAAACCATGTAATGCAGCACGAGAATGTATGCTATTTTCTTAGATGGAAAGATTTTCCTAATCTGCTCCTTTTTTAGTATGTAGACTGATTATTGGCTTAGTGATCTACTACTGTTTTTAGTTGGATAGGCATGGATCTCTTTGATCAATAAATTGGTTGATACCAACAGGCAATTTTGTTTTTTTTTTTGTTTGATTTTACTTGATGGGTTTCATTAGATTTTCTCGCACTCATTTAAAATGTGGAAATTTGTTTCGTAGCAAGTATATTTGTAGATATTCTATGATGGCTTCAATTCAAATGTCCTGTATCAAAACAGAATGCTGTTTGTATCATGCTTTCTTATGTATGAATATTCCCTTTCTAAATTGTGTTGTTGGTTTTTATTCAATAATCATGCGTATACATGTATTGTAATTAAATGGGGTATGTGCAGGAAGCTTTTAACAATGACAATGGCCGAGCACCTCATTCAGCTTGGAGAAACTATGATGATTTCAATGAATATTTTTGGTAAGTATTTAATATCGATGTCTGTTGGGTGAATTTTCCATTGCCTCTGCTGACTTATATTTTTTATTTACAAGGTCGCTTCACTCCTTCGAGCTTGGTTGGCCGTGGCGCACGAGTTCCTCTTTCTTTCAAAAACCTATACCGAGAAAAAAGGTCTGCAATGGGACCTATATATTTTATTTGGAATTTTGTATCATACTGGTTTTGTTGATTCGGTAGTGCACGCTACCATGAATTGAAAAATATGTAAGATTCTATGCCACTGGTAAGAAGCCATTTGTTATCTTCATGATGGTAATTTGAAAATGTTTATAAATATGCTCCTAGACAATGTTTCAGAAGTTCTATTGAAGTTACAATGGCATGTGGTCTTGCAATTGTTCTCATTTACTTTCCTTGCTGCTAAGTAGGTTCTCTATTTTGTTTTTTGATTTTATTTAGACATGTTGAGGTTCAGTCCTTTCCTCATTCGTATAAGAGCTAGATACAGACTTTTGTTTTTTCCCCATCTGTGTATCTGATGTTGGATAATTTGGTTTAATCATTGCAGTATGAGCTTAAAACCGGCAGGGCGACACATCGAGGAAAAACTTCCTTTGTTGAGCACCGGACATTTTTGCATCTCTACCACAGTTTCCATCGGTTATGGATATTCCTTGTTATGATGTTTCAGGTTTGTCATCCTGTTTCAGGGTTCCGTTTATTTGTCATGCTCTTTTTCGATATTCCTCAGAAGATGCGTATAATCAATGCCTATCCTTGGTGGCCTACTGTTATCTGGGACTTTGTTATTCGATAGTTCTTGCACTATCATTGGAAGTATGGGTTATTATCGTATTGAAAGAAGGCTCTCCTGCTACTACTCTAACAAACTTCTTTTACAGGCACTAGCCATAATTGCGTTCAATAAAGATGACCTTGCTTCCAGGCAGACTTTGCTTGAACTTCTTAGCCTGGGTCCGACTTTCGTAGTGATGAAATTTTCTGAGAGTCAGTATTAAACCTAATATGCTTTACTTTATCTTCATTTATTGTCATGAACTACTAAAGAAAAAGTACTCTTTATATTTATAGGTGTTCTGGATGTTATCATGATGTATGGTGCTTATTCTACAACAAGACGGCTGGCTGTTTCTCGCATTTTTCTCCGTTTCATTTGGTTTGGCCTTGCTTCCGTCTTCATAACTTTCCTCTATGTGTATGTTAACATTCTTTTCTTGCACCGTTTTCAGATTTTATTTAGCGTTTGCTATTTTCCTTTTTTTCTCGGGGTAGCTTTTGCATTCCCTTGTATGATAAGTTTTTTTGTGTGTGCAGGTCCGCACTTCGAGCACCAAATTCTGATTCACCCCTATTTAAGCTTTATGTGATTGTCATAGCTATCTATGGTGGTGTTCAGTTCTTTTTTAGTATCCTGATGCGTATCCCAACTTGTCACAACATTGCTAATAAATGTGACCGGTGGCCTGTGATTCGATTCTTTAAGTGGATGCGCCAGGTTTTGAGCCTCATGTTTCTCTTTCATTCTGTATGCTTGAAATTTGGATAATTTCTTTTAATCTCTAATGCGTACTTTATTGTTTTTTCAGGAGAGACATTATGTTGGCCGTGGCATGTATGAAAGGACATCTGATTTTATAAAGTAGTCTCTTCACCTATTTTCTGTCACTTTATTTTAGTTATCTGTTTTCTGGAGACTTCAAAAGTTGATCTAGAAATATCTGCTACTGAAAATACTTGGGCAGCTTACTTCAGATAAACTGTAATGCTTATTAACCTGTATTTCTGACTAGTGTTGGAGGAGAAGCAGATATGCTTGTTTCATGAAACCAACAAACTTCACACCATATGGTCTTTATGTTTTTAATCTGTAAAGGTTTTACTGACCCAATCTTACAATGCAGGTACTTGCTATTTTGGCTTGTCGTTCTGTCTGCAAAGTTCTCATTTGCGTACTTTCTTCAGGTTGGTACTTCTAGCAGGAAACATAATTGTGATATGTTGACAGTTGTACTGAATGTTGTAATGATGTGTTAATCAAGAGTTTCCCGTTGTATTCAGTTTGATTCTTGCTCAAGTTATCCGGTGAGCTCTTAGAGTTGAAAGTAATTTTATGAATGCAGGCATACAATTATTTTTATACAGAAACAAAAATATATCTGATAATTGACGGATATGTCTCTTCATTGCAATCTCTTGTAGTCAGATCCAGAAGTAATGAGTCGATAAACAAGGCAAGATGCTTTGTTTGGTAGTTCAAGTGCGGCTCTAATTACTTTTTCTTGCTGGTGAATTTGCAGATTGAGCCGCTCGTTGGCCCAACAAGGATGATAGTGAAACAGAATAATATTCCGTACTCCTGGCATGATTTTGTGTCAAGAAGTAAGTATGGGATTTGTAGATTTTGTTTAGTGAGTCGATTTGACCATATATATGGCTTTTTCCATGTACGATGCTTGACTATTTAAGCCTAGTTGTTTGAAGAAGTATGGTGCATTATGTTAGTTCTATTTGGAATCGCATCTCTATGCTTGTTTGCAGTATATGATATCAAAGCCGAACTCTAAAAGTAGGTCCGTCTAGGGATGTTATTAGTTCTGCTATTGGGTTTCGTGCTCCTAACTATACTGACAATCTCAAATAATTTTTCCTGGCAAAGGGGGCTTATCTTTTGTGTTATAAGATTCTCATACTTTAAAACTTTCTTTATCTGGTTGCAGAAAACTATAACGCTCTGACTGTTGCCAGTTTATGGGCTCCTGTGGTCGCTGTAAGTTCAATCGTCTTTACATGAGGGTTGGCACTTCTGTTGTTTTAGGTTTTGTTGGAAGCAATTACTGAATCAAGTAGTTGTTGTCTCTAGAGAATCACTTGAATTTTGGGAGGATTTGTTAATAACTATTTCACCAATCTTGGTGAAGTTTGTTCTGATTAGGACAATGCTGCTAGTGGTGGTTCACAGTTAAGTTTTCCTTCATTGTATTGTAACTTTTGCTTTCTTCTAACGCAGATATACCTGTTAGACATCCATATATTCTACACCCTTGTCTCTGCTTTTTTGGGGTTCTTGCTCGGTGCAAGAGATCGTTTGGGGGAGGTAAGTGTGGTTAAATTCTCTTTGTTTTACGAATGTTCAGGATTCAGATATATAAAACTGTTACCTAGGTTGCAT